AGAGGATAGTGGAATTACAAAAAAGATCTCTTCACACCTTGTCCTTACAGGGCAAAATTTAAGACATCAAAAAAACTCTGCCAGCCAAGTACATTTATGAACACATTACATATATATTTAAGACAAGGCAGTCCATGAAGCACTAACAGATAGTCCATTGTCCTGATAAGATGATGGTCAGCCGGCTCAATTCTGATAAGCATCCACAGAAGGGGGGGTGGGTGGGGTTTGATAGACAAAGCTTTTCCTTAGTTTACACATTTCCCAGGAGAAATGTATAAGTCGGCCTGTTTCGAGGCCAGCCGGGGAGTCCAATTCAGATAACCACAATTGTTGATTTATTCAGGCAGACTACTTTTCTGTAAGCCTTGAGTCTGTACTGATAACTTTCCAAGGTCCGAAATGGCCAGATTAGGGTGCATTTTGCTGGTCCGTGCTTACGAGGCTCTTCAAGGTCGTTTTCATGCTGACGAGTCCCAAAGCCGCAGGTGGCCTGCGATTCAAATCACTTCCAACTTACAGTTTCGCTCATAAATCAGCTGATTTTGAGTCCACAAAGCACGAACCAACCTTCACATAGGCAGCAGCCTGACGAGGCCTTCTTTGTATGTTGATCCAGACTATTCCAAAAACAGAAAACCTGTTATAATAAATCCAGTGTTTCCCCTACTATTATACAAGCGGGGCGCCCCGCCCCATCAACAGAACCGAGCACCCCGTCTACCGAACCCCCACCCCACCCCCAACCACCTGTCAGCACTGACGTAATGCTAAACTAGCAGCTTGCAATGCAGATGTGCTAGCTAAAACGCTAAAGGCAGCCTCTTCCTTCATGCTGAACCCTCACGCTGAACGCACCCCCGCCACAAGAAAATTGTCAGTACAAACAGCGCACGGCTCAGATGTGTGTCTGTCTCTCTGACCACCCCCCCCAAAAAAGTCGGTTCAGACAGTGTGCAGCTGAGATGTGTCTCTGTCTCTCTTCTCTCACACACTCTGCTCTAAAACTGTAAAACTGTCAGTGCAGGTAAACCCAATGATGCAGACAGTCCAAGACTCGGGAGTTTATAAAATAAAGTATTTATTTACAAGAATTCAAAAGGGCTGTTGATGCAGCAGAACTTACATGAATTACAAGGAGCAGACAGGAAATCACCAGTGGACAGCTTACAATGGCAGGACAAAGGACTAATGCAGAGACACAGACTATATACAGTGACTAATGAGACAAAACACCTGTGAGGACACACAGCTGAAACACATCAGGGGAAATGATGAACTGGGAAACCAGGGAGTGCAGGAACAGAGACACAACACCAGATGGAGGCTTACACTAGGAAAACACAAACACTATAGAAAACAGAAACTATGGAACAGAATACAGGACATAAATACAACACAAGATGAGGCTAGAGACCAAGACACAAACCACAATCCCTACAAATTCGTTGAGCTGAAAGTCAACGTTTTCATTATCGTGGAGGAGTCTCTCTTTAAGCTCATCTAGATCGCCATGGTAACAGAAGCTGAACTCATCACTTTCTCCACAGCCCCCTGTTCTGGAGCTTAGTTGCTGCCTAAATTGTCATTAAAAAGCTCCATGTTCTCACTGATTATTGTCTCAATTACATCCCAAACAGAAAATCAGACTGCAAAAACTTTTATGTCTGCCTGGTGCTTTAATATTTTAAAATAAACATCAAATTGGTAATTAAAAACAAAAACAAACAAACATATTTTGTTATCTTAAATGCCATTCAGTGTACCACATGTAGCTGTTGATCCAATGTGGGGTGCTTAAATAGCCAACTTTAACCGCTATATAATGTTTACGTAGGGACGTATTTTCATTTAATCATTTAATCTACAAATATTGAAGCTATGAGTATTGTTCTTTTGTAAAAAAAAAAGACGTTTGATCAGAACTTTTTTAATGAATATTTTTAACGAAGTGACAAATTTCTCAAAAGGACATAAATTATGAATGTGCTTGGAAACTTCAGAGTGCTCACAAACACATTTCTTACATTGCATCATTACGAAGGTTTAGTGAAAATATAGTAGAGAGAATAAAAAGCCTATGAGACATTACTATAAAAACCATAAAATAAACCGATGAACTGATGTGAACATCTTTGCGTTTTGTCTGGATTTGCTGAGAAGTCCATTACCTGTAATTATATAGGCTTGAGTCAATTAACCATGACAGCTAGAGTCTATATCACATAATATTTAGGCTCATTATTATAATATTTATTTGATTTGCTCTGCGTAGTGATTTGCACATTATGGAAAGAGTTTAGACTTAAGAGTTTCGGACATTTCATCTACTTTAACTTGCTGCTTTATAAACTAACATTGCAACATTCAGCTAAACCTGTCCTAACTGTAAATACATTTATCCTTTCATGCTGTGTTTTTAATAACTTTGACATTTTTTAAGTGTAAAAAGTGTCAAGTGATGTGTGTAACACCCCTTTTTCATATAGATAAATATAAAGAAAAAAAAATGTCTGAGCAAAAGTCTAAACAACTCCCATTATGTCTTAGTGAAGGTTTTATAAAGTCAGGCCACAAAAAGAATGCCCAGCTTTGTTGAACACAATTTGTAGTACAACACTTAGAATAAGGACAGCAAATAATAGAACAGATCAATATAAATTTTATTAGAATTTTTTTTTCTTATGGAAGAGAAATAATCATGAGGCCATCAAGAGATAAGAATCTGTCTCATTGGAAAAAAAAAAAAACTTTATAAAGATTATCTATCCATCATCTTTACCCACTTCTTCCTTTTCAGGTCACGGGGGTCACTGCTGCCCACTGGTTCACTCTGGACAGGTCATAAGTCCATCATATGCAAAGATTATCTTTACATTTTATGGGTGAAAATGTGTTTATTTCTTATCAATTTGGGATTTATTTTAATTAACACATCATTTAATTTCAGAGAAACTCCCTTTTTCTCAGAAATTGATGTTTTATCTTTGAAGTCTTTTACCTTCATAGACTGTTTCCCTGCATATTTACGAGTTTAGTCAGGCCACCGATCAACCCAAGGCAACGTATTTCTTTGACCGTGCACATGCTGCTTATTGCACCAGCATTTTAATGAAAAGGTTTCACAGTAATTCCTTAAAGTTGGCAGAGGAAATTGTCCAGATTAATTATGTCAGAGCGGTGTTTCAACATGAATTAAAAAATGGGACAAGAAAATATTCAGTAAATAAAAAAATAAAAAAATGTCATGGTGCTGAATGACTGCTGAAATTTGTTGAAGAATTAATTAACTGAGCTGTTAAAGTTCAACGAATATAAACGCTAAAGTCAGTAAAATTGCAACTAAAAGCTGAGAAAATTTAAAGAAAAGCTAAAATTAGCAGAACTGTTAAACATGCTAAAACATACATGAGGAAACATTGTTGCTAAAAGCTAGAATGAGAAAAACCATATGTGAAAGCTAAAATGACCAAAACCATAAAAAATAAATAACTAATAACAAAAATTCATAACTAAAAGTTAAATTTAGCAAACATCTAGCTAAAAGTTAATGATTGTTTTTCCCCAGCTGCAGTAGCCACAACGAGCGAACTTGCTAGTACGATTTAGCATTTGTCTTTAATCAGATGCTCTTCCTGACTCAACCTGGGCTCGAACCTACAACGTCAAGATTACAAAAACACACACTGACCACTGAGCTACCACGCCCTCTAAGAGCTAAAAGGAGTGCAAGATGTAGCAAAGATGGTCCTGTAGATTTATAGAGACAATGTTTTATAAGGACCGGAAGCAATCTTAATGTATTTCTATTGCAAAAAGTTTTGCAAATAGAGTTTAGATAATTCAGAAAGGAGTTGACCAGGGAGAGGTCGGGCCAGAAACCATCGTATCACCAGCAAACTGTTTTTATCCACTATGGGAGTGTGGTATTTGTGGGACTCCAGTTTGTTGTGGCTTCTCAGACTGAAGAAGTCCCTTGGATGAAGTACGAGACGTCTCAGCAAAAAAAAGAAACTGCTCAGATGACCTGACTGAACTTTGTTGGATTTGTACCTGGATTATTGAGCATGAACTTTGTTGGATTTGTACCTGGATTATTGAGCATGAACTTTGTTGAATTTGTACCTGGATTATTGAGCATGAACTTTGTTGGATTTGTACCTGGATTATTGAGCATGGACCTTGTTGGATATGTACCTGGATTACTGAGCATGAACTTTGTTGGATTTGTACCTGGATTATTGAGCATGAACTTTAGTCTAATTCAAAAAGTTAAAAGTACTGAAAGTCATAGCGCACTGCTCCTGGTCGAGTCGAACGTTTTGTTATGTGGATGGTAAAGACATTTCTAAGTATGCAGAAGTACTTTGATCACAAAAATGAACTACAAACAAGAAAACAATAATGTGAAAGTCCAATCAGCAGCTGACAATTCAGAATGATTCACAACTCCATGCTTGAGTCACAGTCGCACCAAATTTGTGACCAGAAAATGTTTAAAAACGGTCAGAGACGCAAGCAAAAATTTCAGATTTGATTTCCCTCTCTATATAAAAGTATGGCAGTTTTTTGATAGCATAATAATAAAGAAAAAAAACGCAAGCTGTGTGTGAAGCGTCTTGGATGAGAATGAGCACCTCCAAATCTGAGGCCATGGTCCTCAGTCGGAAAAGGGTAGATTGCTCGCTTCAAATCGAGGGTGAGGTTCTGCCTCAAGGGGAGGAGTTCAAGTATCTTGGAGTTTTCACAAGTGAGGGAAGAATGGGGCATGGGGTTGACAGACAGATTGGTGCATCTGCAGTATTGCGGACTCTGTGCCGGTCCATTTTGGTGAAGAGGGAAGGCAAAGCTAAAAAAAAAATGGATGGATGGAAAAACAACACAAGGATGATTTTGAACCTTGAGCACAATGACTGACCAAAGGAGCTTTATAACATTTCTGCATAGAGGGGTCATCTAAAGGCGTCCATGGCTGAGGGGACATGATCACACTGACTCACCTCTCTGATTGCTGTGCAGAACTCACTCTGCAGCACCTTCTTCAGAGACTGCAGCTTGTGGCCGGGAACGTCACCAGACTCCTGCAGCTTCTCCAGCAACTCGATAGCCCGGGCAACATCTGGCAGGGCGAGGGAGAGACAATTGGTATGAGTGAATGCACGTTTGGGCCACTTGTGGCGAGGAGAGAGTGAAAAAAAAAAAAATTCAATTACATTAACAGCACAGCAATGACAACTAGGCTGGAGCAAATCAATGCACGCTATAATGAAAATAGACCCAGTCAAGGCCAGCAGTTGTGGGGACGGGAATGCAATCCTTGAATCGTTTGCATTAACTCAGGTCTGTGCATGAAAACAAAGCACAGCAGGAAAAAAGTCGGACTTTATTTAAAAGTATCTATTTTTCTGATTATAATGTAAAAAATGCGAAGCTTCTGCAAGCTGAAGGAGCACTCCACCGTCTTTGCCGCCTGCCTGATTCGGAGAAATGAAATGAGATGAAGATGGGAGACGGAAATGTAAATTAAATCACTCTGCCAAGCAGCGAGATAACCGTGATTTATCGTTATGGACTGGAGCTCTAAACTTCACTTCTTTTTCTTTTTTTAGAAGCTATCATTTTGTTCACTGAATAAGATGACTTTTTATGGGCTCTCTCAAGCATTTTTAATGGGACTTTTGTGTTTGAGCTGCTAATTAACAAGTCGCTTTGGAGCCAAAATTAATACAATGTTGATTTTTAGGACATTTCGTGCTGCAACCAAATAATAATTATAACAAAAATACTTTTTTTTCTTCTTATAGTGTCAGCGGGAGTTTAAGTTGCTAGTTGTGTTCATCTGGACCTCGTTCACAAATAACAAGTCAAATGATTATGTTCGATAATAATTAATAATTAATTTGGCGAATTAACAATTTTATATAAAACTGATTGAGTCAAAATACCATTTTCAAACTTTTAACTTACAAAACACTAAACAACACATTACAAGTAGGGATGACCATTATTTATTATTTTATTGGGATGACATAATCAATAAATGGGGGATCTTACATATACTTTTAGACATAAATTTGATCTTTTTATCATTGGCAAACTATTTTTGGACTATAAGGCACATTTAAAATCTTTAATTTTTCTCCAAAATCAACAGTGAGCCTTAAATCAGGTGCACTTTATATATTAATTCTGGTTGTGCTTACGGACTTCAAACCGATTTGTTGTGGTACACATCTCTCAAAAATCTGTCAAAATGTTTTAGTTTCACTTAATTCGCCCTATAATCGGAAAAATACAGTATTTAAAGCAACTTTATGATCTCTAATGCGTACAGAAGATACCTTAGTATTTGTATTTTATGCTTTTCCTTTTAAATAATTGATGCTCAGACTTGTATAGACTTTCGACCCTGTCAATATCTTACCTGCTGAGGATAAAGCAGTAACTCTAGCCCTCTGGTTTCATTTCTCCCTGTTCTGTTATTTTTTCATTTTTTTTTACCTCCCTTTACACGTTGAACATCTGCCAGCTTCTTTATGACACTTTGTGCTGAACTAACCTGCCTTTTATTGCGGCCATTTTGAGTTATTAAAACAGAAGCCTGTCTCGTGCTTCCTGCTCTGCAGGCAGTGAACATATGGGGGCGGGGGGGTGATTTTACAATGCATGAAGGGAAATCTTCCCTGTGATAAAAGCTGTTTCATTTCACACCATGCAGCCTCCATCTTCAGACAAGTGAGATAATATTAAGTTAGGTGATTTAAGCTAAGTAAAACAAAGAATTCTAATGAGACCCCGAATCCAAAATAGTTGACACGTTGCACAATATTTAAGAAAAAAAACAAACACTAGAATGTAATGCTTTATATCCCGTAAATGTGTATTTTGATCACAGTGGAACACAGTTAACATAGAAAATGTGGTACTTTTCCAAAATGTGTAAGCTGCCCCTGCCTGAGGCACTAATGCACCCCCATACCAACAGAGAAGCAAATATTTTAACTACCTGAGACTAGAGCTGATGATTTCTCTACTCTTTAATATGGAAGAGTTCAACTTTTAATTTGTATGAGCAGTTTTCCATTTTGCCTCACTTCTTTTTAAATGAGCTTTGGTCCAACAAAGATGGCGGTGTTTCTGGATGGTGTTCACCTCTTCTTGCATTATAGAGCTGTATTCAGTATTTGCGGACGACACAGCAAACTTTAGTTACAGAAAATGATTTGTGGAAGTGTTCCTGAGCCCACGCAGTGACGTCCATATCAGATCTTTGAAGATAGGAAATTTAAGGTTTTACAAATTTTCTGTTGAGGAACATTTTTATAAAATTGCGCCACAATTTATAGTCAGTTTTTTCAGACAAGAGAACCTGTGCCCATCTTTACTTCTGAGAGATTCAGCTTCTCTAAAACACTCTTTTTATACCCAGTCCTCATACTGACTTGTTGCTAATTAACCTAATCCATTGCACACTGTTGTTTTTAACTGCACCACATACTTTTACAGCTTTTTGATGTCCATGTTCTGTATATTTTGGGTAGTGTTACTGCCATAAAATCCAAGAATACCATTTTTTTCCTTCTAAAAATAGTAAAATTTCTTGTTTAAACATCTGATATGTTTACAAAATTCCATTGTGAGTAAAATATGTTGTTTTTTTTAGATTCGCACATCATTGCATTCTGCTTTGATATACAGTTTACAAAACATTTTTGGGGAATTCAGGTTGTAACAAACAGATTTGTTTGGGCTATTTTTCTACTTGGGCTTTCACTCGAGTACTTTATTCTGAAACAGAAAGTAAGATCTTCATAGTTTTCTGTCAAGGTGAAACTTTGTCAAACTCTTATGCTTAACGGTTCTTGAACAGCTGGCTCACTTCCAAGCAGCAAGGGCACGTCTGTCTAGGCGAGTTATGAACATTTATGTCTCGTTAAACGAAGGTCAAGAGGCCAAGCTGAGTTTTTCCCCTTTTCTGCCTCTTTTTGCTTCATGCTCATTAACACCGTTTATTTGGTCCACATCAAGACTGTCTACCCAGCATGTGGAGCTGAACTTCTCACAGTGGAAATACAGACGTTTTCTGCTGCTACTGATCATTAGATGTTTTGCCCATTTCTGGATAAAACTCTTAAGGGCAGTTTTAAATTTCATTGGATTTGCATCTTCATAGAAGCTGCACAGAAACTGGTAGAATAACCCTCGTATATACATATACACACATATATACATATATATATATATATATATATATATATATATATATATATATATATATATATATATATATATATATATACATATG